AGCAGAATCCTTGTAAAACTGGACTAAGTGAGCTAAGGACAGAGCTCAAGGTCAAGGGACTAGTCAAGAGGAGACCCATTGCCACTCATTTCTTTTTCGCTCCCACACTGGTATTCTTGGCAGCACAAAATTTTTTTTGTATTCTGCTGATTCATATCATATGGTGGTAAACATGCTATTTCCTCAGCCTGAAATTTTCTTTCTAACTGCAAATAGTTTACTCCTACTTATCTTTTAAAATTCAGCTTAAATATCTCCTTCTCTTGGAAGTCCTCTCTGACCCACAAGTCCAATTTGGTTGCATCCCTTCATTCATTCAACAAGTGTTTATTTAGTGCCCACTGTGGATCGTTCCAGGATCGAGGCACTGAAGATGTGGTGGAAAACGGGGTGAATGAAGCTAGCAGTTTCATTTGTCACACTTAATAGTTGTTCATTTCGCTGCTTGTCTCTTCCTATCATCTTTAGTTCCATGAGAGAAAGGCTATGTTTTATTAAACATCATGTCTCTAGAACCTAGCTCAGAATATGTTGTGTAGTAATACTCCATGTTCAGTAAATATCTGTGGAAGGCAAGAATTAATGAGGGCAGGAAGTAAGAATGGAAGGTGTTGGGGAACTAGAGTTGAGAACAAACTCTCATGCTGTATTAGTTTGCTAGGGCTGCTGTAACAAAGTACCACAGCCTGGGTGACTCAAGCAATAGAAATTTATCGTCTCTCAGTTCTTGGAGGTTGGAAATCTGAGATCAAGTTACTAGCAGGGTTGGTATTTCTGAGGCTTTTCTCCTTGGCTTGTAGATAGCTATTTTCTCCCTGTATCTTTACTTGGTTTTCCCTCTGTGTGTGTCTGTATCCAGATACCCTCTCCTTACAAGGACACCAGGCAAATTGGATTACAGCCACCCAATTGTGGCTAAATGGCATCATCTTAAATTACCACTTAAAAAAACCCTCTCTCCAAAACAGTCACAATGTGAAGTACTGAGGGTTGGGACTTCAACATATGAATTTTAGGGGGACATAATTCAGCTGATAACACCTGACTACCTCCATGAAGGTAGCAGAGAAAGACAAAGAGAGCGGCTTTATTACTGAACACACGTTAAATTAGAATGTGATGCACATCACACATAATCCACTATAGAGATGGCAAAGACAGGAAGAAATTTCCCCCTTTTAAATGGTCAAGCAGAAACAACACATTCCATACAAGTTTTTAAGAGGAATCATAACTAGCCATCAGCTGGGAGGGGTGGCCGCACCATTTGGCACAGAGTTCATCCTAAATCCCCTTGGTGAGGTGGCCATCTGTGTTTACTAACTGCTTTTTCTAAAGCAAAGATACATTTCCCTTATCTTTACAACAGGAGGTAGTTTTGCAACTTGGAATAAGGCACCCATTGGAAGTTAGGCTCCTCCTCCCACAGCAACTGAGACATGGGAGCATTCCATCTTCCATGATGGTTGTATTTGAAGAGACATCTTTCAGGTCCATAAGAAAACATCCCTGTGCTGTAACACTGGACAGAGGCTTATTTAGCCTTTTAAAAAGATTTATGTACATCTCAAAGGGGCAAAAAAAGAATTGACAGTAAAATTTCTAAAGTAAATGCTGAAAGAAAAGGGAGGAGGGGGGAGACTCTTCCCTTATGTTCAACAGGTAGAATTAAACCTTTTATTTTTAACTTGTACTTACCCTTACAAAGACAGAAAGGCGAGGTATCGAACACCAGATGTTTCCTTCTCTTTTCTGAGGTGATACTCATGAAGTGGGAAATTTGTACACATGTCACCATCCACGGGTATGCTCACGGGTCCATTCAAATCCACGGTGCTCATTTCAACTCCATTCTCCCATCACTGCTGTTCAGAGAGTACAACAGAACTTTAGTTATGGCAAGTATAGTTCATCCATTCTGACTTATTAAAATGGGAGACGTTCACATACATTCATCATTTAACCATTAATAGCAACAGTTTACTTGCTTTGCTCTTTTAAACTACTCCATGGTATCATACTTGAGAACTACTAAAAATGATCAAAATAAAAAAAGGAAAGAAGAAGTTGTGGTCTTTGTCATTAGAATTCATTTAGAATGTGCATTACTAACCTCTTCTTTCCTGTAAAAACAAGAGGAAGAAAAACAAGGAATTATGTAGGTAAATCATCACATTGATAAAGTACCTATGTAACTACCTGCTGCCTCAGATAAGCTCCGAATTTCTCCAGCATTCCATTCTCCAAAGGCCATGCTGCTTTGGTCACAGTAACAAAGAATGTCAAGAAGCAGGTAAAGATACACATTTTTTTCCTGGAACTGGATACTTGTGCAAACACAGTAAACATTTTTTTTTAAATGATTTGAATTATGCATAAAAGGAGAGTAGCAGGAAAGTATAGAAAGTGTGGTTATCAGTAGATGGTGGGATTATAGACAATTTTTTTTTAATATTCTTGTTTTCTAAATTTTCTACAATAACATGTAAAATAATTATAACAATACTTTTGTTAACATTTGAACAATGAGAATTGCTAATTCCATGATTTTCTGGGTCATTTTCCCTAATTCTGTGTGCTGGGAAAAATAAGTAGACATAGAATTGTTTATCTCCACTCCAATGTCTGTCGTCTTTTGGCAACATGAAACATCCAGTTCTAAAGAGCAGCTGCTGAAGAGAGTAAATAGTCATTAGCGGGGTTGGACTTATTCTTCCTGATTTCCGCCAAGATCTTGAAGATAGTCTTATTCACCCCCAAGATAGCACTTGGAGGCACACATCTGGATTTTGTCATTTCCCATGTAGCTGCATTAGAGTATCAGATCATTGAGTTCTAATTACATATTTTAGCTGTGATGCAAATCAAGAAGTCTTTGGGGTTCTTTTTTCAGCTATTTACAAATTTTCTTGCATAATGCAGCTAGATGGAACTCCAGGAGGATGTAAGATTCAGCAGAGCATTTTGAAAAATATCCTGGAAGAGTAGAGTGATGAATGGCTTACATGTCATCTGAATCTGTGTCTGGACTGTGTGTTAATTATGCATTTCTGAAAACAGACGGAATGGCCAGACCAAACTTCAAAGCCATTAACAAAAGCCCAGGAGTCTGTGAAAATGTGGGTCTACAAAAGGCCACCCTCTTAAGGGCTAGTTGAACAGCCACAAATTCCAGCAGTTGGACTGAGCTGGGAGTGCCCTGCTCTACCAGAGAGGTGCCTGAGGTGAATTGCATTGCTTATGATGCCATCAGTGAAGAACACTGACTCCCATCTCAGACAGTTGGTTCCGAGGGGCTCACCAAGTAGCCAGAAGAGGAAGAAGTGGGGGTACCATTCCCAATTCCACAAGGCTCTCAGGCAAGGGGCTGAGCATGGTGGAAGTCACATCCTCCTGTAATTTGGAAAGACCTTTGTTGTCAGGTTGAGCCCTGTCCTGAAGGTAAAATTTCCATTTTACCAAGGAGGCATCAGAGGCTTTGCTGAGCTTCTGCTGGGAGGCATGTCTAGCCCAGGGCATTGTAGGAACTTGAACACAGAGTAGTAATGAGTGGGGGCTGGGTAGGAGCTTGGTTTCCAAAAGAACCCAACAGGATGCCAAAAGTTGGCACTCAAGAAGGATATACTGGGCTGCCACTGAGGTGGGTGTTTAGTCTAAAACCCCATAGGAAGTCAGATAGACTCATGTTTGGTCCAGAGACTCCAGGAGGTATGGTCAAGTGTGACCAAGGACCCAACTCAGGATGTAGAGCCAGGTGGGAGTAAAGTTGAGGCTTGCTGGAATGCCCATGAGGCAGCTTCTAAAGTGCACTGTTGGGCCTCACCCCCATGGAAGCTGGAAGAATTGTGGATGATTTCAGATACAGGGCAAAGAATTAGGAGAGAACATGAGAAGGCCTAGTATGTGTTGTGCCATCTGAGTGTAGCGAGTGGTTCAGTAGTGAGCAATTGATGTTTGATGACCAGTGGAATCTCAGCACCTAGACGACCAAACGATGCTCAGAAACTTGACAGGTGAGTCTGTGCCTTGGATCTTGTGGGGGGTGGTTTCCCAGCCACACTGCCCATACCGCTCCATCAGAGGGACAACTCAGCATAATGTCATCTATATAATGCTCCAAAGGGCCATTTCCTAATCATAAGGTATTGAAATCCTGGCAGCAGAAGTGACATGCTATGGCAGGGCTATTTAACTCATTGAGAGCTGCATAAATGTGTATTAAGCCCCTTCAAAAGTGAAATCAGATTGGGATTTCTCTGTGATGAAAACAGAATCGACCACATTAGCTAGAACAATGACTGCACCGGACACTCCCTGGGCCGGTTGCAGGTCTTCCATCAGAATTCTACAGCAAGAGGAACTGGATCGTTAATAGGGAGGACACAGCACTGAGGTTTCCATAATCAGTGGTACTGGCTTAAGCACAGGCTAAATGGGGCTGTTGAAAGGGGAGACTGGGCTTAATGATTCTGTCTCAAGCATATTTTGAACAACAGAGTGTAGGTCCTCAGTGCTCTGTTTAAGTTGGTATTGGAGGGTGTTTACCATCCTGACTGGAGGAGAAAGAGGCATCAGTGTCCATTTGGTGGGTTCTACCAGGAAGGCCAAGAACTTGGGCTTGTTCATACGGTGCCATGTCAATGCATCCATGCCTGTAATAGGAAAGAAAGAGTCAAGGGGGCCACCACCAGAGGGAGCTGTTTGAGGCAAGTGGTACCAATATTTGCATCAAAATGGATTTGTACACTTTTGGTTAATTTACTGGCAACGCCCAGTGTGGAGAAGAGCTCCCTCTTTGGGAATGAATTTAGAGGGACTGCCTGGAATGGCAGTGACTTGGACCCCCAAATCTAATCGGGCCGAAGAGACCGTGTATTTTTATTGTCCCAGTGGACCACCAGAGTGGTATAGGAGAGACTATTACCAGGAGGTAGGATAAGCCCTGGGGGCCACCAATTTCCTAGGGTAGGGGCTGAGATGGCTGCCAGTGCTGGACCGCATTTTTTTTTTTTAAGCTTGGCAAAAGTAGTGACTTTTATTTACAATTGCATGTATCAAGATTACAACAAAAACACTACTGATATCATCCGAACAAAAGCAATGATTTATTGGTAATGGCAATGAATGGAATATTGACAGTCTGGGATGAGAATCAAGCAATTATCCAGGAGCTGTAGATTGGATTGCAATATGGTCTTCCAGTGTCTTTTGTACCTTGGTGGCTTTCTCCCTTTTTGCCAACTACTCGTTTGAAGTCATTCATATTTGTTGCCTGGACTGGAGTACCAATAAAAGTAAAATCCGAAATTCTTGTTGTTTCTTCTTCACCTTGATTGGACTGAATGAATATAGTTACACTGTTAACATTCTGAAACTTAACATAACAAAGTGGGACAATGCCATCTTCTTTAATATCATCCTCTGTTAGTTCCAGAGCTTGAGTTGGTTCACTTCTTTCTGCTTCTTCAAAATCCATAGATCGGGGCAGATTGATAAAAATTTTTACATATTTAGGACCCTGACCATTATCTGGTCCTTGAAATTTCATTGAATAAAGCTTAACAGGTTGATTAAATGCCACAGTAATAAGCAGCTGTTCATCACAATCAGATTCCAAGAAGGTCATATCTTTTCTCAAACAGTTGTCAAATCCATGCTCATCACTTTCATTAAGACATTCACAACCAGCTTTGTTAATAAAAGGCATTAAATCCATATAGCCTTTTGGAATATCTGTGTCCTCGTTGCTTCCAGGGTCATTTTCTAAGTGCTGCTTGATTTTTTCTTCTAATCCAACAGCATCTGCTCCTTGATATTGATCAAGTCTCACTTTGTTTCGAAAAAACAGAAATGTAGGTGCTGCTGATATATTGTTGGTGGCAGCTGTCCCCTCATACTGATGTACATCAACTTGCAAGAAAACTGCCTGTGGATACTTATTACTCATAGAACTGAATGCTGGGGCAATCCTTAAAGACGGTCCACACCCTCGCATGGTGAACTTGACCACAGCGAGTCTGGAGCCCGCGCCGCGGGCACACAGGAGGTGCCGACCGCAGAGTCGTCTCCGGGACTCTCAGTGCCGAGTCATGCCAGGGAGCAGAGCGGCCGAGGGGGTGGGGGCGGGAGGAGGGCAGGTCTGGCAGGTCAGGAAGGGGGCAGAGGGAGTATCAGGGACTGAGTTGGGGCCAGAGCAGTTAGAGGGCAGTTGCATGGGACGTGGATGGCCTGTAGAAGGGGGCTGTAGCTGGGAGAATGCTAGATCTAGGGCCTGCAGTTTAGAGATGGGCTGTCCAGAGATCAAGTGCCCAGAAACTCTGAGATTTCATAACTCCCAGCAGAGGTTTGCCTATGTATTCTCACGAGGGGCAAAATTAGATCAGGGATTTGTTAGAAAGGGAGTGGGGACCCCCTTTATTAGGGCAAGTTTGTGTGAGGGTGACCCCTGTGGGGCAACAGAGGCAGAGGGGCCTAAGTGGAGTATCTGGGTATTTAGGCGGGAATTTCTTCCACATCTAGCAACCATATCAATGCCCTCCAGTACTTTTGAATGGGTTTGGCAGGTCCAATGAAATGTAATAGAACTGCCCTATAATTAGGGAGAGTACTTTGTAAAAAGATTCTCTGGACTTGGAGTCAAATAGGGCCCCTTTAGGATTGGAAATGAAGAGGGGATCATTTGGATTAGCATGGTTATCAAAAAGATAAGAAATAACAAGTGTTAGTGAGGATATGGAGAAAAGGGAACCGTTGTTCACTGATGTTGGGATTGTAAATTGGTTCAGCCACTATGGAAAACATTTTGGAGATTATTTCAAAAAAATTAAAAGTAGAACTACCATACTATCCAGCAATCTCACTTCTGGGTATATATCTGAAGGAAATGAAATCACTATCTCAAAGAGATTTCTGCACTCCCACATTCATTGTTGATTGCAGCATTATTCGCAGTAGCTGAGACATGGAAATAACCTAAGAGTCCACTGATGGATGAATGGATAAATAAAATGTGGTATATAGATGCAATGGAATATTATTTGGCAGTAAAAAAGAAGAGAATCCTGCAATTTGCGGGAACTGGATTCACCCTGAACGCATTATGCTAAGTGAAACAAGTCAGAGAAAGACAAATACTCCTTGTATTTGTTCACTTATAGGTGGAATCTTAAAATGTTGAATTCAAAAAGTAGATGGTAGAATGGGGTTGCTAGGGGCTGGAGGAGGGGGTAGGAGACATGGAGAGATGTTAAAGAGGACAAAGTTCCGGGTTATTAGATGAATAAGTTCTGGGGATCTGCTCTACAACATGGTGAGTACAGTGAGCAAGACTGTATTATATACTTGAAAGTGGCTAAGAGAGTAGACCTTACATATTCTCAACAGTAACTATGTGAGGTGATGGAGGTGTTAAAACTAAGCTTATTGAGGTAGTCCTTTCATAATATATATGTGTATCAAATCATAACTTTGCACACCTTAAACTCATACAATGTTATGATGCAATTATATCTCAATAAAGTTGGCTGCAGAAGAGACTAAAGAAGAAAAGATCCAACTCCATGTACTAATTTAGTTTTAATTTTTTTTAAGCAATCTCTACGCGCAACATGGGGCTCAAACTCATGACTCTGAGATTAAGAGCTGCGCACTCTACCTACTGAGCCAGCCAGGCACCCTTCCACATACTGATTTAAACTTGAATTTTTCACTTAATACACAATTTTGAACATCTTCCTAGTTCAATAAACTTAGGATTCATTACTATTTTTAAGATACATAGTACTTCATTGTATGAAGGTACCAAAATTTATTCAAACTTCTTGTTGTACATTTAGTTAATTTTCATTTTTTTAAATCAAAACAATACTGTGGCGAATATCCTTCTAAGTAAATCCTTCTATTTATCCTGCATAATTTCCTTTAGATAAATTTCTAGAGAAAAATTCCTGAATTGAATGCTGTAATGTATGTAATGGATTGGGTTAAGGTATGTGTGTATATGTGTGTGTGTGTGTGTGTGTATACATATACATATATGTAAGAATGAAAGAGGAATGACACCTCAGTGCCTGGTATTAGAAAGGCAGGAGTTAGCACCTAAATTTACCAGCTGTGTGACGTTAGGGAAGTTTCTTAACTCACTGTGCTTCAGGTTCCTCATCCATAATAATGAGAATAAATAACTGCCTGTCACATAGGTTGTCATGAGAAAATGCATGTGAAGGGGCACCTGGGTGGCTCAGTCGTTTGGGCATCTGACTCTTGACTTCGGCTCAGGTCATGATCTCAGGGTCATGGGATTAAGCCCTGCATCAGGCTCAGCATTGGGCATGGAGCCTGCTTAAGATTCTCTCTCTTCCTCTCCCTCTGCCTCTTCCCATCCCACCCCCACTCTCTCCCACTCTCTATAAAAAAAAAAAAAAGAAGAAAGAAAGAAAAAAAGAAAGAAAATACACATGAAGTGCTCAGCACAGTGCCAGACAAGGAGTCCTTGTTGAAATATGTGTTAATATATTTAAAATGCAGGTATTCTTGGGTACAAACCACCACAGATACTATAATGCAAGTGCTCTTAGAAGTAGCAGAGAGGCCCCTTCACAACTGAGTTACACTAATAAAAGCAACACACAGTGGATGAGCTCAGATATAGACAGATATCACAAGAGAAGAAGTGTCTTCCAGGGTAAAAGTTTGAAGAGAGTACTAGACTGCAGCCTAATCAATAGTATTATTTTTTTTATTAACATATAATGTATTATTTGTTTCAGGGGTACAGGTCTGTAATTCATCAGTCTTACACAATTCACAGCGTGCTAAAGTTAAAGATTCTGATAACAGAAGGGGGGTGGTCAATTTTGAAATAGGAATATTGGGAAGAGGTATGACAGAGGCACAATCCAGGAGAAAATGTGCCTGTGGACCAACTTGGATGTTGGCTCAGTAGCTCCATCCCTCCAGCGGAAGTGGATGCACCGCTTTCCCGGCTGGCTGGCAATAGGAAAGAAACCATCCAGTTCATGCCCCTTGTTCTATCCCCAGGTTTATTTAATCACCTTCTGATTATAATCTCCGTTCCCACGGTAACTGTGCTGTAAAGAGAATGCACTGACTGAATCTAAACATTTCGGCCCATGTAATAGTTATATTTTAAGAATAAATTAATAAATCAGTGTTCTATTTTGTTAAAAATGTTATGATAAAATTTATATTTAAAAATGTGCATGGGAATACACTGATAAACTTGAAAGCACATTATGAATGTTCACTATTATGTTGGCAAAAACTCTGAGAAAAATCTGCGTAAGAGGGAAATACCTTCCTGCCTTCCTTCCTTTCATATGTGTTCAGGGAGTGGTGAAGCTGGGGCAGGCACTTAGTGTTCAACAACAGACGAGTGCAGGAAAAGTCCTTGCTCCAAGGATAACGACCACAACAGAAGCCATGCATAATGATAAACTCAGATAAATCTCTCTAGAGCTGAACCCATAGTTTAATGGTCACGTACAATTTAAACACTGATTGAATTTTAATTTTCTCACAGATGCATTAAAAAGCAATTTATCAAAAAAGAAAAAAAGCAATCTATCATGACTTTTAAATGAGCTTTCAAGTGGAAACTTAAGGAGCACAGTAATAGATGCTGAATGAATTTTATTATGGTTGTGGTGTCTGATAATTCTGTATTTCATTTCCCCAAAGAAGAAATTAACATTAATTAGAATTAATTAACTAATAACAAAAATCAGAAATTTTAATTTTAAACTATTTAAGAATTATACATGCAGATTTTATCTCCCATCTCACCAAACATTTGTTTGGCCAGAATAGAAAATTTCAGTATTTGGGTTTTTTGTTTTTAAAGATTTATTTATTTATTTTAGAGGGAGAGAGAGAGAGAGACAGAGAGAGAGCATGAGCAGGGAGAGGGACAGAAAGAGAGAGGGAAAGAATCTCAAGCAGACTCCCTGCTGAGCTTGGAGCCCGACCTCATGACCCTGAGGGCACAACCTGAGCTGAAATCAAGAGTCAGATGCTTAAATGACTGAGCCACGCAGATGCCCCCCAAAATTTCAACATTTGATTCAAACTCGTTAAAAGATCTCAAGGACTTTATTACAGATGCATTTACCTAAATAATTAGCTGTCTTCAAAATCTTTTTAGGAGACACTGTGGGAGGGTGGGTAGTAAAGGCCAATGTGTCTATCCAGGGATTATGACAGGTAAAATAAACGAAATAATGAAGCAAATGGAAAAGGATCAGAGTTTAAATCAAGCAGGAAGAAGATTTTCAGAAGAATAAGAAGTTACTGGATCATTACTAAGAAGAAATTTAAATTTTGTTTGGAAACACAGACTATACAGCAGTTCATCAAAATTTGGCAAAATTTGTTCAGAATTTAAATGCACTTCCTATATTAACTGAAGCCATTGTCTTTATTAGTTATACAAAAACTGTAAGATCCAGGTGTAAATTCATATAAATATGAATGTCCTTAAAAGTTTTTGAAACAAATGTGACATGTATTTTAACCATGAAGCAAACGCCCTGTAATCTTTGCTCTTATGTCCTTATATTACCCATTTATTCACTTTCTCTACTATCCCCTAAACTACACCACTTGAAAGGGAACCTGAGTTCACCTTCCCCCAAACCTGTTTATATGCAGGATCAGGATTTCTGAAAACCAAACTCCAAATCTAATCCTGGAGTTGATTAATAATGCAAGATGAATCCCCACTCTCACTGAGTCTTTTAGGTTAATGTTAGGGCATCGATTATGAAAGATTGGATTTCCGAAAAATTGGGATGATAAAATGAGAGCAGATTCTGATGAAGCTGAGATAATCAAACCCTAAATTCTGGCAAGCCACCTTTGCCAGTGGGAGCATCCTCTTTTCTCCTGTTTTAGAAAGTTAGTGTGCCCTTACCTGTAGAGACTGTACAGGTCTCCTGTGAGGTAGATGTCTTGCACAGACTTCTAATTCCCCTCAAGACCTCCTTCCACCACAGCACAGATCTCCAAGT